ACCAGGGATCGAATCTTGGCTTTGTAATTTTAGTTAAAAATTTAATAAAAAAAATTTAGCTACCGAAATTGAATCGGTCGCTAAAAAATTCAAAAGTTCAGTATTAGCGACCGAATTAAATTCGGTCGCAATTGTTTGATAATTATTTTCAAAATTGGTCGCTAATTCCGTCGCAAACTATATTTTCATAAAACACAAGTAAACAGCGACCGATTTAGCGACCGATTTTCTCGCTACCACTCTAATCCGTCGCTAATTCGGTCGCAAAACAGTGACTGAAAAATTTCAGTCGCTAAATCGGTCGCTAAACAGCGACTGATAAATTTCGGTCGCTAAATCGGTCGCTATTTTAATCGGTCGCTAATTCGGTCGCTAAATAGCGACCGATAAAATTCGGTCGCTAATTTCGGTCGCTATTTTGTATTTTTCTTGTAGTGGATTAATCATTTTTAGTGTACAATACTCCTTATTTCTTGTCATAAGCTTCGTTGTTACAAGAAAAATTAAGTCTAAAAGTGTTATCTACTTATATTGATTTTTTAATATAGTATTTATTATCTTATTTGTATTTATATTTTTAATAATATTATTTAAAAAATGATCGTGTTACATCATTTTTAATATAAAGAAGATTAATCATAAATTTAATTTTATAAAATTATTATTTTATTTCATCTATTTATTAGTATTTTTATTTATGTAAAATAATGTAGACGATATTTATTACACTAGAACAAAATTTGTTTTTATCGACAATTATTTACCAGTAATAAATTAATTGTCTTTATTTTATTATTTAATAAAAGTATTAGTGGCTAACATATAATGGTCACTAAAAATATATTTATATCACACCAAAATTTATTATTAGCGACATTTATTTATTAAGAAAAATTTTAGTCCCACATCGACTATAAATAAGATAATTAAAAAGTATATAAATGAATAATAACTCTCACCTTTCAAGTTTATTATGTATGATTGAGTTAGACCTATAACTTATTATTCTAAATTAGTATGAGATTATTCACTATTATCAAACTCAATAATCTTTAAACTTAAGGGGACCAACTATTGATAAGAAAATAATATAGATAACTTTCATCTTAAAGTCCCACATTAACTAGAAATAAGGTAATTAAAAAGAATATATAAGTAGAAGACAACTTTTGTTTTTATCGACAATTATTTACCAGTAATAAATTAATTGTCTTTATTTTATTATTTAATAAAAGTATTAGTGGCTAACATATAATGGTCACTAAAAATATATTTATATCACACCAAAATTTATTATTAGCGACATTTATTTATTAAGAAAAATTTTAGTCCCACATCGACTATAAATAAGATAATTAAAAAGTATATAAATGAATAATAACTCTCACCTTTCAAGTTTATTATGTATGATTGAGTTAGACCTATAACTTATTATTCTAAATTAGTATGAGATTATTCACTATTATCAAACTCAATAATCTTTAAACTTAAGGGGACCAACTATTGATAAGAAAATAATATAGATAACTTTCATCTTAAAGTCCCACATTAACTAGAAATAAGGTAATTAAAAAGAATATATAAGTAGAAGACAACTATCATCTTACAAGTTTCACATCAACTAGAGATAAAGTAATTATTTATTTGTACTCATCTTTCCCTATTGAAAGGAGTCTGTTGGTGTACCACCCATAAAAAAGTTTACAGCTGGTAGAGGAAGAGTACTGTAACAGAATATTATCGCCAGCTGAAGTTGTTAATAATAGTGGTTGTACGGTGGATAATTAATTGAGATAGTGGGGGGCAAGAATCAATAGGGAAGAAGCAGAGATTGTAATTGCCTATAAGGCAGAAAATTATTATAAGGGGGAACTTGTATAAATAGGAAGGAGGGAGAGTTAGTGAGGTAGTTCAAATTTGGATTGGAAATTTCAGCGGCAGGAGAGTCCAGGTCTCTCAAATAGCTGGGAGGTATACTTCCTATTTTTCTGTATTCATCATCTCTATCTTGGTTCATATATCAATCTGATATCGAGTTAGAGTCTGAGGTTTGTCTTTAATATATTTTCCATTTTTTCCTATTTATTTTGAACCAGTTCTATTATAGTCATAACAAGATATTAGGCATAGTAATTTATGGACGTCATCTTATTTTTAAGGTTAGTTAAAATCTAAGGATGATAACCAAAACCAATTTCTTCCCTTTACTTCACTTATTTAAAAAAAAAAATCAATTGCATGTGCACTATATTGTATAAGAACCATGTTTACAAACAATTCAATGAGTTACAGATGAACCAGAATGAATGTTTTCAACCCAAAAGGAATGATGGCTAGAAGAACTTAACAATTTCTCAGAATAATAATCATGAATCTCATTATCACAACTTACAAGATGACATTTTATTCAGCACCATTCGTATCCTATTACGTGTATATAATTGGCTTTGATTTGTTGGGTCTTCTACCCAATCCTCACTACTTCCTAGGCATATCTGTACAGATGAAAAGAAATGCTCAAAATTATCAAGAACTCGGATGGAAGGCAAAGGAGAAACAGAATGAACAATGCATAACTAAAATATCTAGCACAAACCTTGTACATATCTTCCTTTGAAAATTCCAAAAGAGGCCGCACAAGAAGGATTCCCTGGTTTGCTTGAATTTTGCGGTTGGAATGCATATATGT